AAAAAAAAAAAAAAAGAAAGAAAGAAACAGCTCTACTAGCCACATTTCTTCCTGGGTTCATTCAAAATGGAAGAGGAACATATGGTTATTGCTAACCTAATCAATCAGTGAAAATGTGCGTTATATGATTTTCAAATCAATTACATAATCTACCCTTTAGAAAACTCAGTTATATAATGTATCTTTTAGAACAATTAAGTGTATTGCTTTTACCGTAGCAAAAGCAGAAATAGTCCTCAACTGTTTTTCTGAGTGTTTCAATTTCTACTGCATCTACACTCATCCGATTCGCCTGAGTTGTAGATTTCATTTTATGCATCTCTGCAGCCTTTTCTTCTTCTTCAACACCTGTAAAAACAATAGTAACAAAAAGGTTCACATCCAGTACCTTAATATTTATTTGCCTTTTAGTAGAAATAGTTTTCCTGTATTCCAATAGGGAAAACTGTTTTTTAACATGTATTCTAACAGGAAAAAAATATTTCTTAACTATTCTTTAACATTTATTAACCATTTTAACAAGCAGCTTGTTATAAAATAACAAGTCATTTGTGTGATTTGTTATACAAGCAAAAAAGAGGCCAAGCACAAGGGCTCAGGCCTGTAATCCCACCACACTGGGAGGCTAAAGCAGCAAGACTGCTTGAGCCCAGGAGTTCAAGACCAGCTTTGGCAACATAACAAGAACCCATTTCTGCAAAAATATGAAAACAGCCAGGTATAGTGGTGAGTGTCTGCAGTCCTTGCTGTCTGGAGGCTGAAGCGAGAATTGCTTGAGTCCAGAAGTTCAAGGCTGCAGTGAGCTATGATCAGGCGGAGACCAGAGCACTGCACTCCAGCCTGGGTGACAGAGTGAGACTCCTCAAAAAAAAAAAAAAAAAAAAAATTATTAGCAATGAAAACAAAGTATGAATACCAATGGGCAGTGACTACAGCCCGAAACTGAGGACAGCTCCCTTAACGCTTAGTTCTAACCAGTGGAGAACCTCGTAAGCCAGGCAGGACAGAGAAGTGGAGAACAGCCATGCTGCCGGCAGGGCTACGGTACTGGTGGGGCAGACGGCAGCTGATACACACACAATCAAAACAGCATTGTTAGTATAAAGAAACACACACACATCATCAATGTCTAAACATTCCTCAACAATATTAACAAAATTTTAAAAATAGGTTACTAACATAAAGCTTAGATGATTACAGCATGGGGGTGAGGGGCAGGGGGAGGAATACAGTGGCAGGGGTAATTTTTATTTTTATTTTATTTTATTTATTTATTTTTTTGAGACGGAGTTTCGCTCTTGTTACCCAGGCTGGAGTACAATGGCATGATCTCGGCTCACTGCAACCTCTGCCTCCTGGGTTCAGGCAATTCTCCTGCCTCAGCCTCCTGAGTAGCTGGGATTACAGGCACGCGCCACCATGCCCAGCTCATTTTTTGTATTTTTAGTAGAGACGGGGTTTCACCATGTTGACCAGGATGGTCTCGATCTCTTGACCTCGTGATCCACCCGCCTCGGCCTCCCAAAGTGCTAGGATTACAGGCGTGAGCCACCGCGCCCGGCTTGGTAATTTTTAAAAGAAATTAAAAATACAATTGGGAATTAAAATTAGTAAATTAACAAAACTTTTTATTCACTAGTAATTTGCCCATTGTATCACAAATTTAATCTGACAATGGAAGTTTAACTTTAGACCTTAATGGCACACAGGCATCTGCAAGAGATATTGTGGGTTCAATTCCAGACCACCACAATAATGCAAGTATAAAGTAAAGTCAGACAAATTTTATGGTTTCCCAATGCATATAAAAGTTATGCTGACTCTTGCTTTCACGAAAGATCTCTCTTTAGTATGACACTATTTGACAGCATTTATCCAGAGTAGAATATCTTTCGAAATTGGAGTCAAACCTCCAAAAAAATGCCATTGCTTTATGAACTAAGTTTATGTCCTATTCTAAATCCTTTGTCATTTCAAGAACGTTCATGGAGGTTGCAGTGAGCTGAGATTGCGCCACTGCACTCCAGCCTGGGCAACAAGAGCGAAACTCTGTCTCAAGAAAAAAAGTAAATAAAAGATGGCTGGGCACAGTGGCTCATGCCTGTAATCCCAGCACTTTGGGAGGCCAAGGCAGGCGAATCACCTTAGGTAAGGAGTTCAAGACCAGCCTAACCAACATGGAGAAACCCGGTCTCTACTAAAAATATAAAATTAGCCAGGTGTGGTGGTGCATGTCTCTAATCCCAGCTACTCAGGAGGCTGAGGCAGGAGAATGGCTTGAACCCAGGAGGCGGAGGTTGCAGTGAGCCGAGATTGAGCTGTTGCACTCCAGCCTGGGCAATAAGAGCAAAACTCTATCTCAAAAAAAGGAGAAAAAATACATACATCTCCTTATACACTTCCATCAAGGCTCTCTGAGTGATTAGGTGCATTGTCAATGAGCAGTCATATTTTGAAAGGAACCTTTTTTTCTGAGCAGTAGGTCTCAAAAGTGAGCTTAAAATATTCAGTGACCAATGCAATCAAGAGATGTGTTGTCATCCAGGCTTTATTGTTCCATCAATGGATTTAGTGGGCCTAGGACTTTCAGAATGGTAAATGAACACTGGCTTCAAAGTAACCAGCTACACTAGCCACTAGCAAGAGAGTCAGCCTGTCTTTTGAAGATTTGAAGCCAGGAATGAACTTCTCTCTAGCTAGCAAAGTCCTAGACAGTATCTTCCAACATAAGGCTGTTTTGTCTACATTGAAAATCTGCAAAAAAAAGAAAAGGAAATCTGCTTTGTGAGAGTGGCTATCTTCATGAATTATCTCAGCTAGGTCTTCTAAAGAACTTGCTGCAGTTTCTACATCAAGCACTTGCTGCTTCACCTTGCATTTTTATGTTATAGAGACTGGTCTTTTTTTCTTTCTTTCTATTTATTTATTTACTTATTTATTTTTTGAGACGGAGTTTCGCTCTTGTTACCCGGGCTGGAGTGCAATGGCGCGATCTCGGCTCACCGCAACCTCCGCCTCCCGGATTCAGGCAATTCTCCTGCCCCAGCCTCCTGAGTCGCTGGGATTACAGGCACGCGCCACCATGCCCAGCTCATTTTTGTATTTTTAGTAGAGACGGGGTTTCACCATGTTGACCAGGATGGTCTCGATCTCTTGATCTCGTGATCCACCTGCCTCGGCCTCCCACAGTGCTGGGATTACAAGCTTCAGCCACCGCGCCCGGCCTTATTTATTTATTTATTTGAGACAGAGTCTCACTCTGTAGCCCATGCTGGAGTGCAGTGGTGCAATCTTGGTTCACTGCAACCTCCGCCTCTCCTGGGCTCAAGAGATTCTAGTACCTCAGCCTCCCAAGTAGCTGGAACTATAGGCACGCACCACCATGCCTGGCTAATTTTTTTTTATTTTAGAAGAGATGGGGTTTCACCAGGTTGCCCAAGGTGGTCTTAAACTCCTCAGCTCAGGGGATCCACCCACCTCAGCCTACCGAAGTGCTAGGATTACAGGCATGAGCCACCGCACCCAGCCAACTGTGTCTTTCGTTAAACCTCATGAGCCAACCTCGGCTAGCTTCCAACTTTTCTTCTGCAGCTTCCTCACCCATCTCAGCCTTCACAGAATTGAACAGCCTTAGTGCCTTGCTCTGGATTAGGCTATGGTTTAAGAGAATGTAAAAAGTCTGAAATAGTCCTATGGCAAGAGTACCAAGATGTGACACAGAGAACCAAAGTGAGTACATGCTGCTGGAAAAGTGGCACCAACAGACTTGGCACAAGATTGCCACAAATCTTCAATGTGTAAAAACTGCAGTATCTGCAGGGCACAACAAAAATGAGGTATGCCCATAAACAGTATGTTCCTATATAGATGCCCCAGCTTTTCTGTTCCCTTTCCATAACACTGTATCACTCCGTTAACACAAAGCCTATAAATAGTATTAGGTTAAACACAGATGGGAGAAAGGTGTCATACTGTGAAAGGCCATGCATATTAACACCCTATCGTCAATTTCAACATGGTGTTCCAATGTCAAATCAGCTTACCACCACTCTAAATGAGGATCACAAAACTCACTCAAGCTCTGATAAGGTGATTCCATTGCGGAAGTGGAGAACTGCTGAACTTTGCATATGCTTAAACAAACTCATTTGCACAGTGAATGACTGGTTCTCAGCACACCATGTTTTTATAAAGAACTGGCCGGTAGCAGGTGGCTCACACCTGTAATCCCAGCACTTTGGGAGCCCAAGCTGGTGGATTACCTGAGGTCAGGAGTTCAAGACCAGCCTGGTCAACTTGACAAACCCTGTCTCTACTAAAAATACAAAAAATTAGCTGGGTGTGGTGGTGCCAGCTACTCACGAGGCTGAGGCAGGAGAATCGCTTGACCACGAGAGGCAGAGGTTGCAGTGAGCTCAGATCACACCACTAAACTCCACCCTGGGCGACAGAGTGAGACCCTGTCTCAAAAAAAAAAAAAAAAAAGGTGGGTGCGATGGCTCATGTCTGTAATCCCAGCGCTTTTGGAGGCCAAGGTGGGTGAATCAGGAGGTCAAGAGATCGAGACCATCCTGGCCAACATGGTGAAACCCCATCTCTACTAAAAATGTAAAAATTTACCGGGCGTGGTGGCGTGCACCTGTAGTCCCAGCTTCTCAGGAAGCTGAGGCAGGAGAATCACTTGAACCCAGGAGGCAGAGGCTAGTGAGCTGAGATCCCACCACTGTACTCCGGCCTGGGTAAAAGAGTGAGACTCTGTCTCACACACACGCGAAAAAACGCCCGGAGTGGGATCGGGCACTGTGGCTCACGCCTGTAATCCCAGCACTTCCGGAGGCCAAGGCGGGCGGGTCATGAGGTCAGGAGTTTGAGACAAACCTAGCCAACATAGTGAAACCCTATCTATCTCCACTAGAGATACAAAAATTAGCTGGGCATGGTGGTAGGTGCCTGTAATCCCAGCTACTTGGGAAGCTGAGGCAGGAGAGTTGTTTGAACCCGGGAGGCACACATCGAGAGTGAATATTCTGAATGCTCAAATTCTACTGAAATTCGCTTTCTAATAAGATGCATAGGCTGGGCGCAGTGGCTCAAGATCACGCCATTGCACTCCAGCCTGGGCAACAGGAGCAAAAGTCCACCTCAAAAAGAAAACAACTCCTCATCTGAGTAAAACTTTTAATCTATTCATAATTTGTCTACCTTCATTACCTTCTCTCTAATGTGTCTCATGAATCTAGAGTAAAGCCAGGCAGAAACACTGTACAATAAACACTGCCATTTTTAACTCTCCAGTACCTATCCAGATAGATTTCAGTGATTCCTTTTGAGCATTCTGAAATGTCTCCATAAACATTTCAGAAAATCTTTTTTAGTTCAAACCTCATTCTGCTTTAAAATATGGCCTGCCTTACCTACAAATATTCAGGCTTAAAATTAATGAAATGCAAAGGATAAAAATACAATGCTTACAATATTTTACAAAATCTTTTTGGAAATCCTTTCTGGTATTGACAAAAGCACGTCCTCTCTCGGTTCCGACGACAAACACGTCTGTTTCATACACTGCGATGCAAGCCACTTCGGCTTTGGACTTGGCCAGTTCTTTACACTACAATACAAAGGGCAAACATGACGTTACACACGGACATTTAAGAGCACCATTTCTGCTCCATGAATTTTTAAAAACCTAACAACATTTTTTAAAGGTTCTTCTCTTTCAAAATAGTTTTTGGCCTGATTCTGAACAAAAGACAACACAGAATTTATAAGGACAAAAAAGAAGAAATCCCGTGTCATCTCTTATAGGTCAGATTCCCCAAGAAGCGGACGCAGAGTTCGCCCAGGCTTGCTGTGGGCACTGTCAATAACAGCACTTGGGAGCGGGGAGGCAGGCAGGGCTGGACAGGGAAGCGCTGAACACTGACACAGCTGCACCCAGAGCTAGACGCTCGCATGGCCGTCCCCAGGGAAAGGGTAGGACCTTGGGCCAGGTGGCTCCAACAGTCATGGCACCTGGAGCAATTAGTACCATCAGTACTAAAGGAGGGGGGGTCTGAAACCCACGCTCCAGCATGCATGACCTAATCCCTACCTCCGGAAGTATTCCCCTGTGTACACACAACCAGAATCACATTTAGGTGGGTAGAGCATTTACTGACTTCTACTACATATAGTTCTACAAGATGAAATATTCTCTAAAAATGCTGTAGAGTATATAGTGTTCCATTTAATAAATATGCCTTGATTTAGTGTCAAAATTATTTAAAAGGTTGGTGATTCCAATTTTCCCTGCTAAAAATAATACCCCCATAATAATCTGAGAAAAAAAATATTTATGGGCATCATTATTTTTTTGAGACAGAGTCCCACTCTGTCGCCAAGGTTGGAGTGTGGCACCACAACCTTGGCTCACTGCAACCTCCGCCTCCAGGGTTCAAGCAATTCTCCTGCCCCAGCCTCCCGACTTGCTGGGTCTACAGGTAATTTTTGTGTGTATTTAGTAGAAACAGGGTTTCACAATGTTGGCCAGGCTGGTCTTGAACTCCTGACCTCAGGTAATCCACCAGCTTGGCCTCCCAAGGTGCTGGGATTATAGGCGTGAGCCACCACGACCGGCCTTAAGTGCATCTTAAATGACTCTCAAAATAGATCCAGAGACATGAGTATCAAAAAAAACACACACACACTGAGAGTAAATACTCTGAATGCTCAAAATCTACTGAAATTTGTTTTCTAATAAGATTCATAGGCTGGGCACAGTGGCTCATGCCTGTATTCCAGCACTTTGGGAGGTCAAGGCAGGTGGATCACTTGAGGTTGGGAGTTTGAGACCAGTGTGACCAACACGGTAAAACCCCATCTCTACTTAAAACAACAACAACAAATAATAATTAGCTGGGTGTAGTGGCAGACGCCTGGAATCCCAGCTACTTGGGAAGCTGAGGCAGGAGAACCACTCCCAGGAGGCGGAGGTTGCAGTGAGCCGAGATCACGCCACTGCATTCCAGCCTCAGTGACACAGTGATCGTCCATCTCAAAGAAAAAAAAAAGAGGCTGGGCAAGGTGGCTCACACCTGTAATCCCAGCACTTTGGGAGGCCGAGGTGGGCAGATCGCCTGAGGTTAGGAGTTCGAGACCAGCTTGACCAACATGGTGAAACTCTACTAAAAATACAAAAATTACCCAGGCATGGTGACAAGCACCTGTAGTCCCAGCAACTCGGGAGGCTGAGGCAAGAGAATCACTTGAACCTGGGAGAGAGAGGTAGCAGTGAGCCAAGATCATGCCACTGCACTTCAGCCTGGGCGACAGAGCGAGACTCTGTCTCAAAAAAAAAAAAAAAAAAAGAGAGAGAAAGAAAGAACAAGAAAAATATTTCCTGAGCCTCATGCTTTTTATATACTATCAAATACTATGTTCAACTACATACCCATAAAAACATGATAAATAAAATGTGTAACTGCCATCACAGTGATATAAAAATGTAGCCAGGCGAGGTGGCTCACACATGTAATCCCAACACGTCAGGAGGCCAAGGCGGGCAGATCACATGAGGTCAGGAGTTCAAGATCAGCCTGGCCAACAAGGTGAAACTTCGTCTCTGCTAAAAATACAAAACTTAGCCGAGCATTGTGGCGGGTGTCTGTAATCTCAGCTACTCAGGAGGCTGAGGCAGAAGAATCGCTTGAACCTGGGACGTGGAGGCTGCAGTGAGCCGAGATGGTGCCAATGTACTCCAGCATGGGCGACAGAGCAAGACTCTCTCAAAAAAAAAACAAAAAAAAAAAACTATAGCATTAATGCTTAATATTTCACTGTAATTATGCATACTGTAGCTTATTTTTGACAAAGAGCTAAAACTACACAATTTAGAAGCAAGTGGCAAATGCAATAGTTATGTATAAGCAGAATAAAAAATATATATAAAATAATCAATAAGCCCTTATAGCCCCCAGTCCTGGTAACCTTCTCTACAGAGACACAATAAACCTCTAGCACCATACTCCAGTATATAAGCTAATTCCGAATAATTGCTAATATTATAGATAAATTCAAAGTTAATGCTTGCAAAACAAATGATTGCCTAAAGTAATGGCAGAAAAAAATTTAAGACTCAATATAACAGTTAGGGCTGGGCGCAGTGGCTCACACCTGTAATCCCAGCACTTTGGGAGGCCGAGATGGGCAAATCACTTGAGGTCGGGAGTTCGAGACCACCATGACCAACATGGAGAAACCCCATCTCTACTGAAAATACAAAATTAGACAGGCATGGTGGTGCATGCCTTTAATCCTTGCTACTCGGGAGGCTGAGGCAGAAGAATCACTTGAGCCCGGGAGGCGGAGATTGCAGGGAGCCAATGGGAGCACCATTGCACTCCAGCCTGGGCAACAAGAGTGAAACTCCATCTCAAAAAACATAAAATAAAATAAATAAATTAATTAAAAAGTTAAACATTTAGGTAAGTTAAGATTCCGAAGCACGGTAATAAAATGTGACTTGGGCCAGGCATGGTGGCTCCCACCTGTAATTCCAGCACTTTAGAAGGCTGAGGCAGGTGAATCACCTGAGTTTGGGTGTTAGAGACCAGCCTGGCCAACAAGATGAAACCCCGTCTCTACTAAAAATACAAAAATTAGCCAGACGTGGTGACGTGCATCTGTAATCCCAGCTAGTCAGGAGGCTGAGACACGAGAATCACTTGGACTCGGGAGGTGGAGTTGGCAGTGAGCCAAGATCACGCCATTGTACTCCAGCCTGGGCAACAAGAGTGAAATTCCATCTCAAAAAATAATAATAATAAATATAAAGTCAAATCCAATGTGACTTGAAAGGCTTAAATCCATAACTGTTATTTAAGGAAAAAAACTACTCATTGGCCAGGCGTGGTGGCTCACACCTGTAATCCCAGCACTTTGGGAGGCCAAGGTGGGCAGATCACCTGAGGTCAGGAGTTCAAGACTAGCCTGTTCAACATGAAGAAACCCCATCTCTACTAAAATTACAAAATTAGCCAGGCTTAGTGGCACATGCCTGTAATCCCAGCTACTCGGGAGGCTGGGGCAGAGATTCACTTGAACCCAGGAGACGGAGGTTGTGGTGAGCCAAGATCGCACCATTGCACTTCAGCCTGGGTGACAAGAGCAAAACTCGATCTCAAAAAACAAAAACAAAAACTAAAAAACATAAAAGTCTATCTTCTACAAAAACAAATCAATCTTATCTGCAGCCCAGGCCTACCCAACTATGAAATGATAGAGCAGAAGGTCTCACCATGGACTCGAGAGCCGACATGAGGAATGTCACCACCATCCTGCTCTCCGAGGATTCCTCATCTTCAACGGGCAGGGTGGACATTGCAACTTGGGCCATGATCCCTGTGCAAGAGAAGTAAGAAGAAAGTCAGTGGTAGAAATCCGGTGTCCTAAACCCACATCCAGAGCTGCGAGGGTCCCTCACGGGCTGCCTAACTTACAGTTTTCTTGCACGAGAGAAGAAAATCGGCTCAGAAACTAAGTATTTGATTTGCTGGAAACTCTCATAAGATAGAGAATCCATTCCCTAACTTTCTATGTAGTGTTACTTCAAGAAAATTGGGTCAACATTCACACCCCCAATAAATCCAGGTGGCACCCAGTATCAGTGAAATTTCTCCCAATTAAGAGCAAGAAGAGGCAAGGCACTTTACAACCCAGTGACAGGCAACCACAACTCAACACAGGAAAGAGGTGCCAAACCCTCTTCTCCCTGAACATCCTCACACAGAAGAGAATGGGTACAGTGGACTTAGGCTGAGTGGAGAGAAGTTTCTCTTCTTACTGAGAAAACAGATCCTAGGGATCAAGTAACATGTAAGATACTTTATAATACAGCATTTTCTGGCCGGGCACATTGGCTCACACCTGTCATCACAGCGCTTTGGGAGGCCGAGGCAGGTGGATCACCTGAGGTCAGAAGTTCGAGATCAGCCTGGCCAACATGGTGAAACCCCTTCTCTACTAAAAATACACAACAGCCAGGCGCGGTAGCGTTCACCTGTAATCCCAGATGCTCAGGAAGGCTGAAGCAGGAGAATCACTTGAACCCAGGAAGTGGAGGTTGCTGTGAGCCGAGAATGCACCACTGCACTCCAGCCTGGGCGACAGAGCAAGGCTCTGTCTCAATAAATAAACATAATGCAAATCATAAAAATAAAAAATAAGCCGGGCGCTGTGGCTCACGCCTGTAATCCCAGCTCTTAGGGAGGCAGAGGCGGGAGGATAGCTTGAGCCCAGGAGTTCGAGACCTGCCTGGGCAATATAGCGAGACCCCGTTCTCCACAAAAAGGAAACAAACAAACAAAAAAAATAAATAAATAAAAAATAATAAAAAATTTAAAAATGACACTTGGCCAGGTGCAGTGGCTCACACTTGTAATTCCAGCATTTTGGGAGGCTGAGACAGGTTGATCACATGAGGCCAGGAGTTCAAGACCAGCCTGGGTAACATGGCAAAACCCGTGTCTACTAAAAATACAAAAATTAGCCAGGAATGGTGGTGTACCATCTGTAATTCCAGCCACTCAGAGGGTTGAGATATGAGAATCGCTTGAATCCAGGAGGTGGAGGTTGCAATGAGCTAAGATTGCACCACTGCACTCCAACCTGGGCAACAAAGCAAGACACT